CCTTTGTAGCTCCTATGCCATTATCTCCATATGTAACAGTCGGACCATCCTTGTTTATGAAATCTTCCAAGAGAGACTTGAATCCTATCATATGCCTTGAACAACCGTTGTCTAAATACCAAATATGCTCTTTTCCCTGAAACTAATATATACAGTAAGACATAAAACACAAAAAGAATGCATATAATACACACTGACACCTATTTGCAAAGGGTCACTCACTAAAAGATATTATAACAACAATTAGGGAGACAGTTCAACGCGTTTCCCATTTTGATCCACTTATCATTACGAGTTCTGATATTATCAGTGTGAATGGATTCCTTTTCAAAAGTGCACTCGTTGACTTTGTGAGAGGTATCATCACATCGATAACAGACTTTGATTCCAGAATTCTTTCCATTAACATTAGATTTTGATTTCTTTTCAACTGTTGAATTTAATTTGAGAGTTTTGAGACAAGGGATGTCATTGATGGTATGCTCAGATACTACCTTTTCATGAGGCTCATGATGCATTGAAGAGTCATTAGAAGTGGAAGACTTTGATTGATTTTCAGGTTTAGAATTGCTTACTGAGCATTGAGGAAACATGCTAAGAATCTCGTTTATAGAATGAAGTTTTCCATTACATATATGAAACTTTAGCTAAATCTTAGTTGAGGGAAGAACATACTCATGATGAGAAGGTTGGTGAGAAGGATCAAGAGTAGATAATTTTGAAATATATTTGGTAATGCCATTAGAATCAGTAGAGCAGTGGGTATCAATTAAAGATGGATTTATAAAATGATAACTCACAAATCTACTCTTAAAGTCTTCCTTTAAGCAGTCAACTTCATAAAAGGTTTGTTTAGTCTCAACAACTTTGGTTAAAGAAATAGCACCTTCTATATCACCTTTAAGAATTTTCTTACACTGATCTGGAATCTGAGCATTAATGATTCTAGTGACATTAAAGTGAGAAGATGCCCAATTTTTCAAAATAAGTTGAGTGCGATTAGCATGATCAATGACTTCTTCTTTTTCAGTGTAAAGAAAATTATTGGTCAGCGAGATACAAGTGTTTTTCTTTTTTAGAGCAGAAAGAGATTTTTCAAGAAAATAGTTTCTTCTTTGAGTTTCTTTAACTCAAGACTGAGAGACGATTTTTCTTTATTTGAGACCAATAAATTTAAACGTAAGAGATCAATCGAGTCATCTTTTTCAATATTATCAACATAGGAGAGGCTAACAAGATTCTTTACCTGATACACTGAGGTATCGTCCCATTCTAACTTGAGGTCCTTTGTAGTGTGAGGAAGATCATCGTCAAGGATCATAACGCTGTCATGATCAGTGTCAATGTGTGGTTCAACAATCTGAGCCATGAGACACTTACATTCATCATATAAGGTGTTTTCATTTTCAAAAGCAGATGATAGAGTGATCATCATCTCTTGAGCTATTGAGAAGTTTTGAACCAAACGATAGACAAAAAATGGGAGTGAGTTTCCAATAGAAGTTCTCGCCTTTACATTGAGATTCAACATCCTCTTCTCGAAGTAGCTGAGCATGGGCGAGGCCCGTACCTCAGAGATAATGGAGTGTGGGCGAGGCCCGTATCTCGTAGACAGTGGAGTGTGGGCGAGGCCCGTATCTCCTAGATAGCGGAGTGTGGGCGGGGCCCGTATCTCCCAGTTAGCGGAGTGTGGGCGAGGCCCGTATCTCCACGAGTGTGGGCGAGGCCCGTATCTCCTAGTTGCATGCTATGTGTAGATGGTATGTGGTAGATTGGGGAGACTCACTAAGCTTCGTGCTTACGGTTTTCAGTTTTGGTTTCAGGTACTTCCACTGGCACTGGGAAGGGCTCGGGATGATCGCATGGCACACACCACAGTCTTCAGCCTGGGAGTTAGACTCTGATATTTGGATATGAGATTTGATTTGAGACAGACACTATGATGTTTTATGATACACGATTACGATTTTACTTATGATTCTGGATGGTTGATGGTTTTAATAATGTTTAAAAACGAAACTTTTGGGTTGTATTTTTGGGATGTTTCACGTAAAGTATAATATGAGCCCCTTATATGATGTGAACATGTTGTAGTAAGTTATTAGACATGTAGACTACTTTAGAAAGTTGCTTGTGATGTTGGATTGTTTGTTTGTCTGTTTGTTGTATATGTCAACATATCTTGTGGTGGGTTGAGGGTGGTCTTTCTTTGTGTGGTAGGCCAAGATACTTGGGAAGACCAACGTTACACTGAAGGCCAGATGCGACCCAACTTTATGCTGCAAGCGAGTTGGATGGACTAGTCATGGACTAAAGGCCAATGTTGTATGCTTGTATGTATATTGTGGTGTATGGTATTTTGGGGAACTGACTAATCTTTAGCTTACATTTGTGGATTAAATGTTTTAGGTACTTCAGATGATCATCGGAGGGCGAAGGCGTGACTGTACACACATCGACAACTTTTGTATTTTGTGATTCCACATTAATGATCATACTCTGATTTTTTGGATGTAAACTTTTGGAACAAATGGTTTTATGATATTACTTTATGAAAATAGCTACTTTTACTTAAGATAAAAATTGAAAGTTTTGCCTTGAAAATTAGGATGTTTCAAGGAGTGGTTGAAGAAAATATGGAAAAGTGTAAACAAGGTAAGATGATGAAAACCACAAAGAATTTGGATGTGATCCACCACATGATGACTATTGTGAGAATCGGTAACCTTATGTTTGTAAAAAATTATTATAAACACTTGTAACATTGTAATCAGTTTTTATAGTTAAAAAACAGAGCAAATTGCAAAACGGTCCATATGGTTTATTGTTTTTAGGGGGTACAATCCAAAAATATTTTAACACTTAAAAATAGTCTATTTTACGTGGTTTGTTTGTGGTTTAGATCCTGAGATGACTATCATACACTTTTAAATTAATATTTACATTTTAAATATTTATTCCATTAATTTAATAATTAACAAAAAATATATACTCTTCACAACCCCAGCCCACCCTCTCTTCGTCGTAATACTATCTCTCTTTTTCGATCACTCCTTCACTAAAACCTAACACTATTACCTTTATGGGATTGTAGACAACATCAAAACCCTTACCTCCTCCTCTGATCACCAACACGGTTGACCATCCTTCCCTCCTCCGACCACCCTTCTTTACTCATTTGGTCATTAACGTCGTCGACCACCCTTCGCTCCTCATCCCTTCACCAACACTTCATCTGTAACGAATCTCCATCTATGTTTACCTTCCCTAAACTAGTTACAGATCTGGAAACCTAAAGTTAAAGTTGATTCATCACACCATCTCTCTCTAGTTGATCACCAATTTGGAATGAGGATGGATCTTCCAAGTCGAAGTGTCTCTACATTTTCCTTCTCACTTTATCTTCTTTCTTCTTGTTCATCACTGACATAAACTCTCTATGTCTAAGGTATGTTTTTTGTACAGATCTTTTTGACTTGCTTTGTCCGCGTCACGCATACTAAGCACATACATTAGCTTTTGACGTAAATGTTGACTAGAGTCTTTTAACCTTTTTAGACATCTTCTAACCTAAAAAAACATCATTTCTTAACAAAAATCGAATGCCTCTTTTTATTTGTTTGAGCGTTTGTTTTTTGTAACCTCTTCGGACATTAATATTTTTTTTGTTACAATTCCTCTTTTTTCTAACCTCTTTAGACAATAACACTATTTCGATTTTTTAATATTTCTCCATTTTAACTACAACGAAATAAAATAAATATCAAATATATATGTTAATTCATATAATTTACTTTCATTCTTTTATAATACAACATACTATTTAAAATATGACCTAATTATCCTATTATCATTAAAATACAAAATAATTTAGGAAACACATTAATCACAATATAATGTCACAATAAAAAAATTAAAATAAGAAGTTGGTTATGAAAAATAAAAGTGTTAAACAATAATAAATAAAATTTGATCTAGATTTGTTACTTATTATAATAAAAATTAAGTTAAAAAAAAGATTTTTTTATGGAAAATACCGACTAAAGTCAAAAGACCCGTATAATTCAAATATTGAATCTCTTAAATGAATTGAAATTTAAAGAAATTTGATTTTGATAAAACCTTTGGATATTGTAAAACTAGAAGCATTTAAATTTTAATATTGAAAAACTCTTTTAAGTTTAAAAATCAGTTTATTTTAGTAACCAACAAACGTTAAAAAAACAAATAATATTCTTCTTACAAACTGCACGATTGATTCATCTCTTCTACTTTAGAAGTTTGGAGATGTAATTCGCAGATTGCATACATTTTGCCTCTGAAAAAAGCAATCTAACACCAAATCCGTTTTATTCAATTTTGATTTTGGTATGTATATGTCAAAATTGTTCTTTAAATTCTTGAATTGAGAGTAACCGAAGATGATAGTTTGTCTAGCCTGGGAAGAGAATCAACGGCAAAGGTGGGTGGTGATGAGTGAGTATTTTTTTCTAAATATAAAACTATTAGAATAAATTAAAAAAAAATGTAAAATATTCATTAAAAAGGTAGATATTCATTTCAATTTTCACAAAGTTCTAAATAACAACCAAACCACGTTACCATTTATACGAAAGATATTTGTCCTGTAAGCCACAAAAATCAACAAACCTATGACTATTTTTGTAATCTTCTCTATAAAATTAGTGAAATGAAAAGACCGAAAATGTAAAGCTTTTTCTGAATTTTCCCTAAACGTTAAACTAATATTTATAAATTTTTATATTAATTTTCATCAAACAAAACCCACACGGCCTCAACTCGGTTTCAAATCCTAGTTGGAACAGTAGAACCGTTAACTGCAGTTTCATGCGAACAAGGTTCGCAGTTGACGGTTATATACTTAATCGCTAAGATCATTCTTTCGTCACCTTCCTTGCTGTTTCCTTTCTCCCAAAGTCGGTTAACACAAACCCTATATAAATCCACCCCACCCCAATCTCTACTTCCAACAATCAACCATGAATTACAGAACTTTAGACCTGACACTTGTCTCTGCAAAGGGGATCAAGAAACCCTCTCTCACCAGGAAACCAGACGTCTACGCCGTAGCTTACATCTCCGGCACCACCACCAAACAAAAGCTTAAAACCCATGTTGATAAAGATGGAGGTTCCAACCCTACCTGGAACTTCCCCATGAAGTTTACAGTCGATGAAGCCGCCGGCTTACAGAACCGCCTGACACTCGTCGTCGAGATCAAGGCCGTCGGGACGTTCAGTGATAAGAATTTGGGAGAAGTTCGTGTGCCGATTAAAGAGCTCTTGGAAGGCGCGTCAACTCAGCAGCTTGTGAGTTATCAGGTGAGGAAGCATTCCGGGAAGCCGAATGGGTTTCTTAGTTTTTCGTATAAATTTGGGGAAAAGTTTTCCGGTAAGGCGGAGGAGCCTGTCACGGCTTATCCTCCCGGTATGGCGGTTGGATCAAGTGCCGCGTATGCGCCGCCGTATGAGGCCGCAGGTCGGTATTACCAGCAGGCCCCTGCTGCTACTGGATATCCTGGATATGCGTACCAACACCAGCAACAACCGGGTTATGGTGGTTACCCTCCGCCACCGCCGCCAGGGTACGGTGGATATCCTCCGCAGCAGGGATATGGGTATCCGGCGGCAGTTCAGCAGCCTCCGAAGAAGAATAAACTTGGTATGGGGTTAGGAGCCGGTTTGCTAGGTGGAGCACTGGGTGGACTTTTGATCGGCGATATCGTGTCGGATAGTGGCGGTGGATGTGGCGGTGGAGGATGTGGTGCAGGCGGTTTTTGATGATACGTTCCTGATATTGGGATTTTTTTTCTATAATATTAGTATGTATGGTTTGTTTGTTGCCCTGTCGATTGTAAATATTCTTATGGCTTAAATTCATTAATTCGTATCACTACAAGGTATAAACCAATTTAATATTTTATAGAAGTAATATCTAATCTTAGTAATGTTACGATGTGATTACGTTTTCCTTGAATGATATAATTCATGTGGTACATGATAAAGATATAAACCAATTTACTTTAACTTTATAGAATACTTAATCTTATTATAGATTTTAAAATTCATAAATGAGTAATATTTAGCGTATTTATTCCTTAACCCATGCTTTTTACATTATAGGGTAAACAAAAACAACAAAATTGTTGGTTATTAACTTATTATTTCAAAGTATAATAAATAGTAAGACAATTGACATGATTGTAATGATATTGATCCTATGTCATATCAGCTTAATATAACTTCTATTTATTAGTTTAAATTTGTCTAATATAATAAAATATTATTAATAAATACAATAGTCAATTTAACAGTAAATATTTATTTTATTTAACATTTAAATAGTAGTAACAACAAAACAAATATTAATTACATTAAAATGATCATTTTTCTAGTGGTTTGCCGATTTCTTTGGATAAGGTCCAAAAAAAAGTTTATTAGCAAAAAATGTCTTTATTTGATGGTTTAGTTGTGGTTTTGGTCTCTATTTCGTTAACTTTAACATTTTGTTGTTAACTTTTTTAAATTTACAATTTACCCTCAAGGACCATTTTTGCAGTTATCTCTTTTTACCAAATTACAATGACCATTTATGCAGTTCTTTTTTTTAAATTTATTGAATTATTATATATTAATTTTTCTTTCTTTTTAATTTTATTGAACTATTATATATTAATTCTTTTTTTAATTTTATTTTTATTGGATTAATTTTTTATCTGATTATTATATATCAGTTAATTCTATTTTTAATATATAATATTTATATATTACTAAATATTATATTATTATATTATTAATTCCTTTTAATTATTTTTAAAAAAAAATTATTGGATTATTTTTTTTTTAAAAAGTTAGTAGATTTTTTTATTGGATTATTACATTTAATTTATTATATTCTATATATAATAAATAATATTTTAGTGGATCATTAATTTTTTTTAAATGTATATTATTAATTCTTTTTAATTTTTTGGTTCTACCACAAAGTATTCGGAATACGCAAAAGCACCGCATCCTATTGTCGAAAATCGTCAGGACCACCGCTAATCACCTTCATCGGAGGTCCGACGGAAACACTACCAACTTGTTTCACCCAACGCCGCTATCTAGTAGCCACCTGCGACAACCTCTTCACAATCCGTCAGAATCCTTTATATTTGTCACTAAGCCGATCGTTTTCCACTCGAACCATTACTATTTGAACCACCAAGAAGTCCAGCCCAAACACCCCTGTGAGTTCCTCCATTTGTTTCCTTTTACCAGCTTACGCCACAACTACCAGGTCAGTTCCTCCATTTGTTGCCTTCCACAACCCATATAACCTTATAACATCAAAGCTTCAAGCCTGTTGTCACACCCCCGAACCAAAACGGCGAAAACGTCCGAGGGCGGATGACGTCATTGTATAGTATCATAACAATTGAATATGAATGAAACGTAGCAACCAAACATCATACATTAAAAGATACCAATATACATTGTTTACATATTGTATTTGTTCACAAGTTTACACAAAAGTGACATAAAATATGATGTTCCAAAATGTAGCAAATATCCAAAATTCATAGCCCAGATACCTGCTCACCGAGTCTCTGAGAATACAAGTCGTTTTGAAAAGCGTCAACTAAAAAGTTGGTGAGTTTATAAGCATATTTGTATAAAAAGCTTTGTAACATCTTTGATTGTAATAATTTGTAAAACTCCAGAAAATCTGATATTTTCTGTGAAAAATGGTTTGTAAGTCTCGTTCTAAAACTGTGAATAATTGCATGTGTGTCCTTTGTTTTCTTTTTGTTTGTAACTGAAAAGAGTGTGTGTTCCCAGAAAATCCCATATTTTCTGTTTTATGAAAAGTTGTAGTCTTAAATCCCTAAGACTGGGGTGGTGATAGTAATGTACAAAAGTGAAGCGTAGTTTTATATTTTATAAAACCAGTGAAGTGTATGTTTTCGTAAATCCAAAATAACATTGTTAACCCCTATGTGAGTCGTTACAACCATGTTTAATATGACTGATATGTCTGTCATGACGTTCTTCAGGCGTCGGTTTCGGTAAGATATTTGTCACCCTAGACTGGCCTCGTCTAGCTGTAGCGAACAGCTAAGGCGTGGGGGTGTCAACCCCGTAGAGATCTATATACTATGTTGTTTAGGAGCTTTGTAACACAAAATATACTATGTTGTTTAGGAGTTTTGTAACACAAAATATACTATGTTGTTGTGATGGTTCTTAACTATTGGATCAAGTTTTTGGGCTTGTACGAGGTTGTTTCGACTTGAATCACAATGTATGTAAGTATGACTCAAATAACATTGTAGTTTGAATTTTGCAAATTTGATGATATAAAGTTACATAGAAGAAATGGTTTTGGTACATGAATCACCCCTTTCAATCCTAATTTTGCTAGTTGTGACACCTGCACTACCTGAAAAGGTTTAGCGGTAGATCTGGTGGTTTGAAAAACCCAATATCTAACATTGTCGCCATTGACGGTAGTGTGGGTAGTCAATTGGTGTAGTTTTGGTTGATAATGACGGATTGTAGGCAACGATCGACGATTTCCGACAAGATGATGTGGCGGCGCAAGGTAGTAGAAAGAAACAAATGGAGAAACTGACCAGGGGTGTTTGGATCGGACCTCCTTAACACAATATTTATTGTAACAGAAAAACAACCAACTTAGTGGCAACCAATAATGTGTTAATTCGGACGTTTTCTGTTACAACCAATATTGTGTTAACCACCAGGAGGTCCGATCCAAACACCCGTGGTCAGTTCCTCCATTCGTTGTTTTTTACCACCTTGTACCGCCACATCATCTTGTCGGAAATCGTGCATCGTTGCCTACAATCCGTCATTCTCAACCAAAACTGCACCAATTGACTACCCACACTGTCATCAATGGTGACAATGTTAGATATAGGGTTTTCAAACCACCAGATCCACCGCTAGATCTTTTCAGGTAGTGCAGGCTTGAAGCTTCGATGTTATAAGGTTATATGGGTTGTGGAAGGCAACGAATGGAGGAACTGACCTGGTAGTTGTGGCGTAAGCTGGTAAAAGGAAACAAATGGAGGAACTGACAGGGGTGTTTGGGTTGGACTTCTTGGTGGTTTAAATAGTAATGGTTATAGTGGAAAACGATCGGCTTAGTGGCAAATATAAAGGATTCTAACGGATTGTGAAGAGGTGTTCGCAGGTGGCTACTAGATAGCGGCGTTGGGTGAAACAGGTTGGTAGTGTTTCCGTCAGACCTCCGATGAAGGTGATTAGCGGTGGTCTCGACGATTTTCGACAATGGGATGCGGTGCTTTTGCGTATTCCGAAGACTTTGTGGTAGAACCAATAAATTAAAAAGAATTAATAGTATACATTTAAAAAAAAATAATGATCCACTAAAATATTATTTATTATATATAGCATATAATAAATTAAATGTAATAATCCAATAAAAAAACCTAATAATTTTTTTAAAATAAAATAATCCAATAAAAAAATTTAAAAAAATAGTTAAAAGAAATTAATGATATACTAATATAATATTTATTAATATATAAATATTATATATTAAAAGTAAAATTAACTGATATATAATAATAAGATAAAAAAATTAATCCAATAAAAAATTAAAAAAAAAGATTTAATGATATAATTCATGTGGTACACGATAAAGATATAAACCAATTTACTTTAACTTTATAGAATACTTAATCTTATTATAGATTTTAAAATTCATAAATGAGTAATATTTAGCGTATTTATTCCTTAACCTATGCTTTTTACATTATAGGGTAAACAAAAACAACAAAATTGTTGGTTATTAACTTATTATTTCAAAGTATAATAAATTGTAAGACAATTTGACATGATTGTAATGATATTGATCCTATGTCATATCAGCTTATATAACTTCTATTTATTAGTTTAAATTTGTCTAATATAATAAAATATTATTAATAAATACAATAGTCAATTTAACAGTAAATATTTATTTTATTTAACATTTAAATAGTAGTAACAACAAAAAAAAAAATATTAATTACATTAAAATGATCGTTTTTCTCGTCCTCAAATGGTTTCAAATCTTTTCAACAAAAAATAATCCCAGTTGAATAAATCGTTACATGACTTTAAATATCTTGTCATACATAAAGAGTGAACTTAACTAGGGAAGTTTCATGTATAAATATAGTAAAATTAACATCATCTATGTATTCAAATTTAAGAAATATATGAATTGTGTTCATCTTCCATTGATTACACATGTTCATCATTTTCATGATTAGAAATGTTCTTACTATTTAATTTTATTATATGGGTGATGGTCCACGAATAATAGAAAAATATGATTAGAGTACCATAAACTTTTTCCACATCTTTCTTATCAAACTCTTATTTGTTTGCAAATAGTATTTTATGGTCCTTGAGGTAAGAATATGATTGCTTTGGAAAAGACATATCACTTGGAATAGATTCAATTTGTAAGTTAGTAAGGCTATCCGGCGCGTGAACACCATCCTCGACAATGTGAAGTTTTGTGGTTTTAGCTACGCTGCACCACTTCCTCTCTCTCTCTCTCTCTCTCACGTTAAAACCACTCATGTGGTGGTGGTGGATGAGCGTGGTTGACGTGGCGATGATGTTGAAGGTGGCCACGTCGGACCACACCCCCTCTCAATCCCGATAGCCTAACCTACATTGTAATTGTTACTATTGACCTGAAAGGTAACCTAATATGTTCTCTTACTAACACCTCATTAAAGATAGGATTTTAATAGGAG